AATTGGTACCAAAATATAACGAATTTACTACTTTCAAGCTCCGTATCTATTCAACATAAAAATATTTCTTATATATTTGTATCTCTAATTTTTAGTATAATTGAACAATAACAAAAAATCCGAGATCAAATGTTTGACCAAGTTTTGAAATAGCTAGATCACAGAATGGGAAGGAAGTGTCTGAAGTGTCGTCTAGACTCTAGACGGTAATGATGAAGGAAGCAGTGGGAGTGAGAGCGGGTTTTCACAAGAGGCGCTCTCTTTGGCAATAATGGCAAATTTGCTCTCGCGGTGACTGTAAATTAACATGGGAACTGGGTAAACTGTCTACTCACCGGACGGGTGACTTCTTAGCTGTGCGTTTGCAAGATCTCTAACATAAATTTGCTATATTATATAGTATTATCATGATGATTATTAGGTAGGGCCTACACATAATGTGCAGCTTGTCGAAGATTCCCACTTTAAACCTATCTGTATGTGCCCTAAGTTATAACATATACAGTACCTATTATAACTGCAGGAGAATATTTGTTGCTAGTAACATTCTTGTATGAGTTTAACGGTTTTCTATTTAACATACGTTTAAATCATAATTAAACGCTGAAAATATCATATACTTGATCAGGCGTAAACTAATGAGAAGAGTTTAATAGTTTAAAAACATTTTGTTTAGAATATAAGATTCCAAAATTTATTTCCTTCCATGTGATGTATTATATATTTACTAGTGGTCATCCAGTGGTCGAAAACTCGACCAAATATATGTAATGTACAGACTTCTCTATTTCCACCCCTCGCTGTAAATAACACAGGTATTTGAATTTCTTCAATTTGTTTAGATTTTCTATTTCGTCACCACCATAAGGCCCATGTTAATTTTTTAAAAATTTAAATTCATTTGATGTAGTTAATTTTGAGCCTACTTTAATTTATAAAGGGATTCTGCACATCTACAGAAAAATACATTTCTAACGGTAGGCCTACGCGTAGATTATCCTTGCGATGCACACGAGCTGAGAAAAGAGGTCTTAAAGAAACGTTCTTGCCTATAAATATATAGATGTTGTTTGGCACAAATTCAGCATATTCTTGTACATGTACATATCAAAAACATATTGTACATATGAAGTTTATATTAATTTTTATTGCGTTTGTATACCTTATCGTTCCAATATTTACGAGCTAAGCATAGTCAACTATACTATAAACAACACCTACTATAAACTACATAAACAAAGTGGTTTTATGCAACAGCTTTGTTAAGCATTTTCATCAGTTAAAATGTAATTACAGACGAGGATGAACAAGGATGAAGAGGATAGCAAGTGGTATAAGATGGGCATAAGGTGTTATCTAAAATTCACATTTTCTCCAATGACCACAAATGATCAAATGTCACAACTCAATGATAATTTTAAGAATTTGAACTACTCAAACTGTATTTTAAGGCACAGACTCACGCAACGTAGTAGTTCAAATACTGTAGATAATTTTGGAAACACACTACACTGTATCACATTAACACATTATAATATCTCTAATTTAAAAAATCGAAATCAAAATGTTAAATTTACAGACGAAATATAAGATACCGATTGCCACGAAACAAACGACCAACTGACAAACTGAGGGAAGAAACGTTATTATTTCTCGTTGCGAGTAAGTATTTATTTATTAACAACTGACGTCACATACAGTATTCCAGTGTCGTTAAAAAAGTAATCTGACGTACGACGGTATTGTATTATTGTATAACGCTCCGTTTTCTAATAAACCAACATGATGAACAACTAATAATTCTCGTAATGTTAATTTTGTTTTCAGTCTACTCAATGTCAATCATCAACAATATTAAATTCAATCCTAACCAACCGGACAGGTTGTAATGTCAAAGAGAAATCATACTTTTACTGTCGTGTTATCTGCTATGTTACATTTCGAAATTAACCTTTTAATGACGTCACAACCAACGGGGTTCTTAAAGTCTTGGTCTTATATCATAATAGTCTTGTTTTATTTTTCCCCATATACATAACATTAGGTAGAACTTTTTATTTGAGTTTTGGGTTGATATCACTTATCGTTTTTGGTCCCCCTGAACCCAAAAGGGGGTTTCTAAGTGATGTCTGTGTGTGTGGATGTGTACAGAGCTACATACCGCATCTGTGGTCCTATTTTGATAAAAAAATTATGCGGGTATGTTTATTTTAATGATGATTTATCCATAAAAATCCACAAAATTACGGGAATTCGGATTAAAAAGGACTCGAACTATTTGTATTCAAATATAGTATGTTATATCCCTTTTAACTGTAGACAAAACTGTAACAGGATAACGGTAACGGTTAGGATCCCTCACATCAATTAGGTTTTCTTACCCCGTTTGGATTCCATAACCTCATTTAGGTTCTCTCGCTTCAGTTAGGTCCCCTTTCCTCAGTTAGGTTATTTAGTTCTTCTCATTTTTTTCATGTTAATGCTTTTAAAATTAATTACTTTCTATAAATCACTGACCCAAAGGCTCAAATCAATAAATATATGCTCTACTATAAAACAACACATCCTCACACTCTTACTCTAGCGTACCTAAAAAATCTTACGAAACCCCACACACTTCTTTAACCTCTTTGCTCAGACACTCGCCAAAACAGCTGATATTTGACCAGTTTTTCTTAAACACCTTAAAACGGATAATTTCCTCCAACTGTGTATCATTACTGGAGGGGTGGCAACTACCCATGTTAACGTGAAGGGTGACATGACATGTTAGCTGCTCGTCTGTCTCAGCATCTGTCACGTGATTAATTCTCGTCTGGGCAACGCTTCCTCCTGATGATCTATTGTTGTCTTTTCCTGTTCCCAGATCTTTGCTAAATGCGGTAGAATTTGCCTGACTCGGAATTGGTACATGTACAATTTACAAAGCTAGTATAAAACACCCGATTGCCTATTGGTGTATTTCTTTTTAAGATCTCCGCTAAATGAATGCGGTGGTCTAGCGAAAATCTGGGAACATGTAAAAAACTTATAATAAATTGACAAAATCATAACCAAGGGTTTGCGTAATTATGTTCACGACAAAACAAACAAAACATGTTAAAATTAACTTAACTGAAGTTGAGGAAAAAGCAATATGTCTGGTACCTTAACGTGCCCTACTGAGTGCAGAGTGGATTTTGTTTACGCCCCATTTATAAATAATATAATTGTTAAAGATGTAATAGGCCAAAACGACTGTCCATAAATTACCATCAAATAAACAGGGATATAATATATGTGTCTGCGGCTGCGGAAGGTAGTGTCATCATAAACGCTAGGTTGACAGTTTAACTGGCCGTAGCTGGCTCGTGCCGGCGTGTCTCAGCTGACTATAAACTCTTTAGTCAACGTCTGTATACATCGGCAGCTATGAGAATTTACTTAACAAATCTCAAGTCCAATTTTCATCCCTAAAACCAAACGTAAAGCGTGTCGTGTTTTCCATATCCCGTTACGGGATGGTCATATGACTAGAATAAAATTAATAATTATTAGTGCGCTAATGCCAACTTTATATCCCCCAAGAGTAATGCTTAGATTTTAAAATTAATACCGAATTGAAAAAAAAAATTGTCTCCATGACCACATTCAACACTAACCGAATCATAAACATGCCATAGTAGGCTTTAGACTTTACTATACGATGAGAAACATATTTGCATATAGCCATAGCCATCGCCATTCGAATGCGGCTAGTAGACTTTTATAGATTGTAAAATTCTGTATGATGTTTGATGCAGAGAGCAAAGGTGGTCTGGTGTGGTCTAACACGATTCAAGTACAGTAGTCATGTTTGTAATTTAATTTTAAGCGGTCTCGCCGATACGCCAATTTTGTTATTCGAATTATCGAAAAAAATCAGTTTAACGACGATTAATCAACTATTGCAAACACTGTTAAGCGGACTTATTTCATCTGTGATTGGTTTGTATATTTGTAATTTATGGTGCAGCCAAAAACATCGTAATGTGTAGTATTTCAAAAGTCACCTCCTTTATTAGTTATCTCTTTGTTACTCTCTATTTTCTATATCTATCAGTTTATATTATTGTTTTCATCACTTTGTTTTTTCAGTTTTCCTGTTGTATTTTTATAACAAACGATTAGTCCATTGATGTAATTTAAATGTGGTTCTTTGGTTTTAAAGTAAGTTTAAACGGTAAGACGAGGAAACCTAACTGAAAGGAGGGGACCTAACAGATGTGAGGAAACCTAACTGAGGTAAGGGATTCTAACTGAGATGAGGGGACCTAACTGATGTGAGGAAACTTAACTGAGGTAAGGTATTCTAACTGAGATTAGGGGACCTAACTGATGTGAGGAAACCTAACTGAGGTAAGGGATTCTAACTGAGATGAGGGGACCTAACTGATGTGAGGAAACCTTACTGAGGTAAGGGATCCTAACTGAGATGAGGGGACCTAACTGATGTGAGGAAACTTAACTGAGGTAAGGGATCCTAACTGAACATAAGTGAGGTGAGAAAATCTAATGGTAATGAGGCAATTCAACCGGGGCGAGGGAACTTATCTGAGATGAGGGCGAGCCTGCAGTTTGCATGTGATGTACTATGGACCCGAGAGATAATTGCTTTACCCTTACACGCGGGGGAATTTTTCTCTTCCTTGCGTCCCCAATCCCCCTAAAATCGCTTGCACCCCTGGTCTTATTTACTAAAGCGGCCCAGGGTGAGAACTTTGGTGATGGGAACACAGAGATCATTGGAAGGGTGCTACAGTTTATTGGTACAGTACTTGAAATAAAAGGGCTCTGGAGCTCACAGCGGAGTTTGGAAAAGCCTACAATACTAGGAAGACCGAAAATCAATCTCTACTACACCATATAATTAACCTCTACCACACCACGATATCAATCTCTACATAAAACTGAGCAATACATAAATGTTAAGTAATTGATACAAAATAACTACTAGGATAGAAGGTAAAAAATGAGACACCTTTAGAGTTGCTATACTCTATATTTACAACCCAAAAATAACACAGTGTAAAGGAGTTTCTCCATTTTAAACATGTCACTACCGTAAATAATAATGTTTTTGAATGTTTAAATAATACATGCCTAAGCCTAATACCACTGTATATCCTACAACCTAATAGATTACATTAAACCCATGAGGTTATTTTTATCACAACCTATTAAGATGGTAATAGTGTTTATAAAAGTGTTTATAAAGTTGGATAAGTTTTTTTTTTAACAGGCCACTACAAAAATGAAAGCATTATTTAATTACTATAAATAGTTGTGGTTTAACTTAGACATGGTTACAGTAGACTTCCTCTTACCGGGCTCCTCGGGACCAAGGCCAGTCCGGATAATGGTTTTTGTGGTTAAACTGACGTCAACTCGGCCACTCGAAAACTAACAAAAAAGTTTTACTTAAATTTGGGAGAGCAATTTAGACGAAAAATCATTGGTCCCAATTATTTCCGAAAATTCTTTTTAGATCCGCCCAATTACTGCCAATCTAGTACGGTTAAACCGATTTGCTGATAAAAATGGTTTTGTTTGAGAGATTTCACTCCTGCTGAGTGCCTGATAAACTGTATTATATAAGTGTTCGGTTAAGAGGGAGTCACTGTATACTATAATGTTGGCAGAAATGTCAAGCAATTCGCTCTGGCAATGTGTTTTATTTGACAAGGTTTTCAAAACTATAAAGCTACCTACAAAATAACACCAATGTGATACCTGCTTTGTAGTAGGGCATGTATAATAAATAGTGCAATACTGTACATAGTGGAACAAATAAGTAAATTAATAGGGAACAGTGAATATAAAGTAAAAACTTTCAATTATATCATGAAAACTATATTACTGACATACGTTAGTCATCTTACAACACAGCCACAAAATATTATTTACACAACACAAACGTGATCATCAATAACGAAATAAAAATAAAAAAATAAACTCTATTATAAAGTAAAATATCATGCTTTGGTAAAACTAAATTAAATTAAGTTTCCATCCTTAAAACCCTGGAAAGTAAATTAAAGGAAAATTTAGTTACTATCAGATATTATAGCTTATACTTCTACTTATTATTTCAGAACAATGCTGTAACTGTCATGCTGTAACTGACCAAATGCTGTTTTGTTTTGCACTAAGAATGTTAACCAAAATAATACATCCTAGAATACTAATGATAAGAAAACTCCCAATGTTAACAGTAAATCTACCACATTTTGATTTTTGATATTGTATGAACTCCATCTCTATTGAGCTACTTTAAATAATGTTGATAATAGTTGCCCTTTTCAACCACACATATTAAAAATACTTGTTTTGTTGAATGTCAGCAAATAGTGTAAATACATAAAAAAATATTTTTTTAAAATTAAAGCTTTAACAAAACCCAATATGAAATATAGGCAAAAATATAAAACCAATAATTATAAAATTAAACTTAAAATAATGGTAATCTTATTTACAACATACTATTTCAAGGAGAAACAATCACTAGCAAAAGAGATGATCTCAAAACATGATTTGTTTCTCCGAGAGAAAAATAGAAGCATCGGTCCACCCGAAAGCATCAACGTGCACAAAGATAGACTATTAGTACAAGTAACATGCTTATAACAAATATTTTAATTATTTTTTATTTTAAGGATTTTGTGTGAGAAATATACATAAAGAACAAGAGTAGAAATTGTAGTAAACAATAAAATAGTCAAGGAAAAGTCTTAACAACAGTCGAGACTCCAATTTTTGGTTATCTAACCTCTTATGCCATATCCTCTATGTATAAGATTAAGTATTGTAAGATTGTGGTAATTTCCAAGTGGAATGACTGTATATTTATATTGAGGATGTATATTGTAATCAGGGGCGTCGTCTTGGGGGGGGTAGGGGGGGGAGCCTCCCCCCCCTAGAATCCTGGAAAGAGAAAAGTTGGGAATTTCCTTGCCATGAGTTGGGACAGTTGGGAAATCAGATACAAGAAAAATATATTTTTAAACTAAATAAAATTTAAAAATATTTGCGAAAATCCATCAAAGATCAAAATTTCTTTGACTTGGACGAATAAACTTGATGTTTCTTTGATTTAATTTAACTTTGATTAAACTAGGCTAAACCATGGCTAAACACGCCTTATTTTAAGAAATCGTTAACCAATTAGCGGTATAGTTTGTTGGAATTTCGTTTACGAGAAATTTTGTTCCTTATTGGACGTATGTTGGCTACCTTGATCCTGTCCTGTGTTGATGATTTTCTGAATGGTTCGTCTGCGAGACTGCAAATTTGAATTTTGAAAGTGCAAGCGGCGTAGCTCTTCAGTTCAATTATGTTGTTTGTTAGTGTTTACAAGAAGTTCAAAAATATTTTTCATGTCAGTCAAATAAACTATATTTTATACCTTTTTTTGTAGTATTTGGAGCAGGCTTACTGACAGGAGTACTTGCTAATAGGTAGATTAAAATAACATTAAAGATAGGTTTTGTATATCGGTATTGCCTTTAAAACTCTAATTTTTAATAACCTAAATGAAATATTTATTCTCTGAATATTATCTAAAAAATCTACAAAAGTGATTTATCATTCCTAATTAAGAATTTACAAAAATGAATCAACTAATCACTCTGAAACAGATCTACATAGACAATAGACAAAACATAACCTAAAATTTGATGTTTGACTTTCACGTTTGAGTTTGATTTTTGTCCAAGTTCTAGTTTGATGAAGGTGAAGGTTAACATTTTTATTGTATGTATAAGTTTATTATCAACCAAGTTGAACGTTTTTATTTTATACAAGTCTTATTTTAGGTTTATTCTTTTCTAGACTAGAATAATATTATTCACAACACTGATAATAATATTTCATCATTACAAACTTGTTTAGGCCTAGTTGTAAGTTTTATGAAAGTTAAAGTGTTGATCTTAATATCAACTTCTAAAAGTATTGTAATTTCATTATTTTGTAATAAAATATTGTTTTTCTATACTAATTTGTACTAGGCTTATTTTATATCCCTAAAATTTTACACTGCTACCACAATGGTTTGTAAAGTTTTTTGGATTTGAAACAATACTTATTCAAGTTTTTGGAGTCATAAAACTTCATTATGAATTGGTAGAAGTTTTAGACGTTTTTTTGAATTGAGTAATTTTGTATACATGTAAAACTAGCTATGTTTTGTTAATGCAAGTTAATAAATACTGAATTGAGTGTGACTGCAGTGTAGTATAATAATTTGTAGATTTTTAAAAATAGTACAGAAATTGATTTTTTTTTATAAAAAATAGTTGGGAAATCTATGTTAAGCAGTTGGGAAATTTGAGGCTTCTCCCCCCCCCTAGAATTTAACCAAGCAACGCCACTGATTGTAATGCTCCTTTGCCGTCTTTGACTGTACTCGGGAGATATGCACCAGGCCTTAGGTGCATGCACTTGACTGTAATTTCCTATTTTTACATGCTGCATAACACCATAACCTAAAAACACCCCATGGTTCATCAACCTGCTTCACTACAGGTTTTCTAGGTTTTCTGTGTTATCCGACCTTTTTGCTTATCCGATCTCGACACGGCCAATTTAGGTCAGATAACTGAGACTCTACTATATTTGTTATTTTACCAAATAAAAATTTTATTAATATTTAATGAATACATGGTGAACGTGTTTTTAAGAACTTTTAAGAGAATTCACAGAGAAGTAAGGTACAGAGGAAACATTCGTACCACAACTAGGGGTCTCAATCCCGGGCCTTCAATCCAATCCCGGGATTTCGGGATTCGTCTCAGCCGATCCCAGGATCAATCCTGGGATTATATAATATTATGATTTTTTACTTTTTAGCCATTTTAAATGAGCGAGAAGTCCCCTTGTTGAGTACTTTAATGTTTCAAACTTTGGCCAGTGTTACAAGTGTAACACTGCGCAATGTTTCCATTTTCTAAGTAAATAAATATTACCACGCGGAACTTTCATTGCCCGTATTTCTTATTTACAGTGTATAAATGTTGATATGTCACTCTAGAGTATAATAAATACATTTAAAAAAATCACGAGCAACCGCACTCGTACGTAGCCTATAAGTCACGCTCACGCTAATAGATAGATTAAAGATAGCTAAGAGAAAAAAAATAAAATGGGAAGAATCACGAGTAGCAGCGTAAAAATTTTTTTTTTTACTTACAGCAATAAAACAATATAAGATACTGTAAAACAATAAACCATATGCTTATGTAGTAGCGTGTGTATGAAAAACGTAATTTTAGATTGTAAGAAATTTAATCACCACACTAATAACCAAATACGAAGATAAAAGTTATACACCCTAAATATAAGCGATCTTAATAATGAGATTATAATCGTGTGTTTATAGTTATATTTTATGGCTTCCATGAAAATAATACTTAAATTTCCGATTGCAATGTTATGTTTGCTACACGAATTGCATTGTTTACTAATGTCAAAAGTAAAACTCAAAATAACATGTAGGCCTACTGTAATTAGGTTCTAAATAATGTAATAACAATTACAGAAAGTAAATCCAAATCGTCTAAAAACTGAAACATATATTTAGGCCTGAATGTAGGCCTATTTGAGTTTAATGATAATTAAATTTTCCAATCAAAAAATATCATTAGGCTACTTATACCATTTCATATAATCGTCCTAAAAATAAAGAGTATATGTGTTTCAAGTGTTACTGGACTATTTTTATTAATTTTCCGTAAGTAAAAGTCCTAAAATTCACAAAAAAAATCAATATAAACATAGGTTTTGCAATCCCGTTAATCCCGGGATTAAAAGACACCAGTCCCGGGATTTCTAGGTATCAAAAATCGGCCGAGATCCCGGGATCCCGAATTGAGACCCCTAACCACAACGCTCATGGTGGAGGAAGACCCTGTACATAAGTGTGTTTCCTCTATACCTAACTTCTCTACGGAGAATTTAAATCCAACCAGACATATGAAAATGCCAACAATGTTCTAAAAGACAAAACTTTAAACTTTACTCAACTAAAATAGTTTCACAGGAAACTGTCAAAACGCAAGATAACAGACAATGTAAGGGGTTAAATGTCTACTAAGGCACGTTGTATAGCTTCATCACTCATCTACGATGTTAACCACATGACAAACTGGATGACATTCAAGAGGTTGGCCATTGGTGTAGCCGGAGGTGGTGGCAGTGGTTTACGAGATGGAGGTGGTACAGTAGCAGGGTAGAAGATGGGTTTATCTAGAGGACAGTTGCCATTGGGTTGCCAGTGGAATGAGTGGTGAAGTTTGATACCGTCACAGTCCACAAGGTTGATTGACTTGTCAAAGCATATCCTGATTTCTTGGAGGTAGTACTGTTTGGTTTTCTGAAACAGATTGAAAAGTTTGTATGTTTCTAAAAGAGGCTTAAACGGAAAATAAGGAATGAGGCAAATGTTTGACTACTGTAAGATCTCCCTAATTTACTTTTAAGTTCAAACTAGGCGTGTTAAGAGTCCTTGGAGGCTAGCGGCCATCTTGGATGATTTCAAACTGCTTCTGAAGAGTTATTTATCGTCCAAAAAATTGTTTCAAACATAAAAGTGGTTATAATTTAAATATCTAGTATACTGTGGGATTAGAAATGTTCTTTGTAGTTTTGAATTGTTCTCCAGGGGAGACCATAGAAGCTAGCCGCCATAATGGATTTGCTAGCCACAAGAGCATTGTTAATTTTGTTAATTCCAAACAGCTGCTGAAGAGTTATTTACCATCTCAAAATATTTGTTCAAACACCAGAGTGATTGTAATTTAAATATCTAGTATACTGTGGGATTAGAAATTGTCTTTGTAGTTCTTTAACTATTTTACGAGTTAGAACAGCTCCAAGGACTCTTAAGAGGAAACACTATGTAAATACAGTTAACGGGACTGTACAAATCAATTTATTATACCAAATTAAATAATTCATTTTTGATAGGATTAGGTTAACCCTTGTTTTAACAGGCCTCCCTAGAAAAAGAATCACACTCATTAAGAAATTTGCTGCGATTTTATGATAGCCTGCCGCGGTTGGTTATACGACAGCCAATGCTCAGTGTGAATGAGTGCACAAAGATTTTAATTTGTTCAATAGATGCACAGTATAGTAGGTTCTGTGTTCCAGTTGTTATGGACGAAGGTCTACAAGAAACGAAAAGATGCACTGAACCAAATTACTAACAAACACACAGTATGGCAAAAGCAGGGGTGAAATACCTGGATAAACAAACAAAAAACACTGCAAAAAATGTGCCAAGCGAAAAAAAAACTGATTAAGTTTGAGTCTATGTTCCTTCCAAAATGCTACATTGAATGTTTTTAGGATAATGCTAGCCGACTACTGACATTTTTATATTCAGATGACAGGACCCGGGAGATCCCGCGCATAGCACTCTTGGACAACCATGGCGCGCAAGATTACCTGTAGGCAGCATCCAATGTGTTTAACATAAGGCCTATAAATATAGAAAATTTTTAATATTTAACCGACAACATTTTCCACCAACGCGGGTGTTACTCCCACCCATTGGCCATTACAAGGGTTGTTGACAAGCTAATCAGTGGAGAAGGTATGTGTCAGTTTGCTGATACCATTTATTTTCACTTAGTTTATCTCAACTCACCTTATCATGGACACAGTGTATGGAAGGGTTAACCCCGAGAGTTGTCTTAATAGCCAACCAGATTGAGGTTAGGTCAGTAGGCGAGTCTGAGTCAGGGTAAACACTGGCTTTGCCTAGAACTCCCTTCATGTTAAACTTTTGAAGCAAGTCCAATCCTGTCTGGAAGTAACCGATTTCTGGGGGAAAAAACTTTATAGATTAGCTACATTCAGACAAAAAGAAAATACCTTAAGTTTTGACGGTTGTGTCCTAATTGCGAACAGTCCAGATTGCGAACAAGGGTAAAATCGTCCAGACTGCGAACAAATATTTTGGAATCTGTAAAGATGGTTTAGTCGCTGTTGTTGAACGTGAGTTTTAATTGATTCTTTTTGATGTTTTTAGGTAATTGAGTTGGGAATGTGATTGAATGATTGATGTTGTAATGTGTAATGCATATACATGTTATTTCGGATGTATTTGTTTTAGTTGCTATTTAAATTCCTCGTTGAAGATGTTTTTTTAGGTAATGATTGAGTTTGGATTGTGATATTGGAAAATGCATGTAATTTCGGCTAATTATGTTAATAAACTATAGTATTAATGTAAAATGATTGTTTATTTTTTTCACTCTGAGATTGTTTAGTTATTGTAGTTGCTTGTTCAAGTCAAACATATTAGCCTACAGTATAATTAATTTTAAATAAATAACCACTTTAAATATTATCAGAACGGATTTGTGAGTCTGAAAGAATATGTCTGTTAATATACAAGCGGCTTTACGTAAAATTATACTACGTCTCATAAAGATGATATGTGTCTTCAAGAACATTCATCCTCTCCGTTATGTATATTACCAGTCTTAATTTATGATTTAGGCTAAATTATTCTGTTAAGTGTTTCTATGAAAGGGTTGAAAACCCCGACCACTCAAAATTTGTTCGCAATCAGGAATCCTCCCAACCCTACGGACGACCCCATCCACCTCGTAGACCCAAACTTGTTCGCATTCTGGACTGTTCGCAATCAGGACTGTTCGCAATCAGGAGGACACCGTTTTGACTACACAGAAGAAATTTATGTGCTACAAGCTTTGACTATTGAGTCACAAGTTTTTTTTTCAAAATGGATGTAGTTGAGTTGAGCCACTCAACTGTGTTGATGTAAATCAGTAATATCTATCGAATAAGTGGGATCTTTAACCAAGTCAAACTGGTAGGACCACTTATTGTAAGCAATTCTATCTTTTATGCCATGCAATCTATATCAGTAACAAAACAATACATTTTGTCCTAAAAACAACAATAAAATAGTAAAGTAGGAAATAGAATTTTAACACAAGCACACTCTGTGACTGGCTGATTCAACTAGGTACATTTTGAATACAAAACTGGCAATTCGTCTCTGTGGTAAGGCATGCCTTGATCACTTATGTGATGGCCCAAGATGGACTCGGTGTCTGCGGTGTCAGATCTGGCTGCTGACCAAAGACTCGTCTCTTCTGTCTCATCATCACTGGCACGAAGAGAAGATCTCTGGGGGATTCACTGGATTGCCTTCTCAACCTAACTCCAATTGACATGCATGTCGTCAAGGTCACTGTGTGGAAGACTTTCTACAGACTCCAGTGTGAAAACCATTGGTTGGATGTAGGAGGATCCCGAGGCCACTCTCCGATCCCTCAAACGGTAAGAGGGGAGGTTCTGGACATGCCTTCGGACCACATGCCAATTCCATTAATCTTCGCCAAGCCATTCACCATCCAGAGATGAGTGGATGTCGCGAGAAAATCCTCTTCCACAGATTCGTATACCGATGGTTCAAAAGTAAGAAGTGGGACGGGGGCTGGAATTCACAGTGTGCAGAATGGGGAGGACTTATGAACCAAAAATTAACACTTGATTTACTTTTAGTGTCCAAAAACCAATGCTACTAACCAGTGGGAATGAAACACTTTTGTTGGCACGTACGATGTAGAACTATCAACATTATTAACCTTTTCCTCCAACATCATCAAAACTATCACTACTTGTCCCTTGCACAATTAAGTGTGGGAAACTTTTTTCATTTAAAGATTTTAGCTAGTTTACTCTTTTTGTTTTTTCCATGTTATTCGAACTTTCTGTTTAGCCAAACCTGCCACAACTGGATTGGATAGAATTATCGAGATGGTACTGTAATACTTTAGATGCGAGAATGAAAGCATCCAATCGATATCTTCTTCTTGAGTTCTGCTGCCTTTGACCTACCTGTTGGTAAATAATGAGATCACAACTTTATTTATATATCACTGTATTCAAAACACAGTAGTAGAGTTTTGGAAACCCAAAAAATTAGAAATATGTTACGTTGTTATTTATGTTTGCAATTTTGTATTTAGAGTACTTATTGTTGTTCAAATAAAAATCTTCCCTGTGACTCAATTCATGTACAGTAGAGTTCCGATAGTTCGAAATGGTTGGGATCAGACCCATTTCTGATTACCAAATATTTAGAACTAAGCAAAGTTTATATTTTTTAATACACTTTTTTACTTTGGACGCTAGGCACAAGCCCGGGATTGTTTTTCACATTACTTCAGGCTAGACCTAGGGGTTGCGGCATTATCACTGAGATAAAATCCTTTGTTGATTTGTCAGGATTTGAACCTGGGACCTCAGGGACCGAAGCCCCGCGCTAACCATTAGACCAGCTTTCTCATCTAAGTGAAATGTTAACTAAAATACTCTATAAAACAAGTATATTTCTCGCCCGGAAACTACAGAAAGCTTCGACGGCGAATACTTTGCTAAGTGACAGCTTGTACTTAATAAATTAAAAAAGTAAAAAATATTGGTAAATCCTTTTTGGTTTCGGATTAAGCGGAGGTTTGGATTACCGATGTTCTGATTATCGGGAATCCACTGTATTTCCAGTAAAAATGCTTTCGTGAATAAAGAAGATTATTATTGTATTTAAATTTATTTATTTTACACTAAGCTATTAATATTTTACTAAAAACACACTTTATTACCCTCCTTGTAGCAGCAAACCTAAGTACTTATTAAACCTAATGTTATTTAAATGGATTTAAGTGAAAATCAAATCAGGCAAATGGAAATTCGTTCAGTCAGCAGGTTTGGTGCGGCGGGGGTATTTGTTACTGAGGTAGTCGATGTGATAAAAAAGATGCTAGGCCTATAGCTTACAATAAGTAGTCCTATGAGTATGATTTGGTTAAAAGCCTGCGTATTCGACGGAAATCAATAACTTACATCAGTCGGCTTACTTCAACAACGTCAATTTTTATTAAAAACTGGTAACAACTTAAACATGGGAATGGAATGCATAGTTCTATCATCAGTCAAGGATAATCAACAATATCACAGACCTGTACTCAATTGAGGAACTGAGGCTGAACAGGTCCCATGCTTTCGCCACTCGTGTCTCCAGAAAGAGTTGGCTGGTTCTGGGATCTCCACATCTATCCAGTACTCTGTTAGGTTGTTCATGATTGGAGCAAGCTGTGAGGCGTTAAAATGCAACGAAGAATTGCAGAACGATGGACCAATCGTGCCAAGTTTTGTCGGCCTGTAAAAATATTGAGTTAGTAATTTGAGTTAGTCAATAAATTAATCACAACTTTATAAGTGCATTAAATACAACGAATTGTGTCAATATACTGTTGCGGGCTTAACGGGTTCTTTACAATAAAACTTGGCGATTTTATAATAGCTATTTTATTTACACTAATAACTATCTATTTACAAATATTACAATTACCTAACACCTAACTAACCCTATCTAAACCTAGCTAATGCCTATTCTAATTTACAACGTTTCTACTTACAGCTAGCCTCTACAGGATTTATCACTACTTCTGTTACAACACTGTCACTACACTGTCACTAGTGTCACTTCACTGTATCTACACCGTCACTACACTGTCACTGCCACTAGCACTAGCACTGGTCACTAACACCGACGGGCGCTTGCCGCGACGATTCTCGGAAGGCTCAACTCAACTCAACTGCCGTGTGCCGGAAGACGGTCCCTTATATAAGTTTACCGTGGAACATTCTGGAGACCCCTAGTAGCTTAGACAAAGGTGTTTACAGATCACCGTGGAAGCTTCTGGTGGATGTCAAAGACCCTATTGACGTAGTCCGTTGACATGGGTCTATTGTCTTTCGGAGAACCCCGTGTTGACAACAACCCTTTTGAGACGGCGCCTGGCTATTGTTGCGCGGGACTCCTGACTTGTAACACTACCCCCTCCTTAAGACTTGTTCTGTCCCAGAACAGATTTCTCTCGAAGCTTGAGATCTTCTGGACCAATGTCTCCGGTCCCCCACGGGTTGAATACGCAGACCACAATGTCGATGCAGTGTCCTCAAAAAGTTCCTGCACCATATTTCTTACAATCTTCCATTCCAATCCGTCATAACCACATCCCAGCCTGGGAATAGCAAGCTTTTTTATTCCAATCCGAAGAATTTTGTCTCGCAGGTCTTGCAGGCTTTTCTTCAACGATTCATAGGAGGGCTTCTTACTTGACGTTTCCTTCGTAACGAGGTAGAACAAATGCTGGCCGTTGCGCTTCAGGTGAAGGGTCGTGCCAATGGTGGGGCTCTGACGCTCAAGATCTTCGGTCCCTCCAAACTTTTTCCTGAAGACTGTGGCTATACCTCGCGACGCTCTCAGATCTTCTGCTAAGCAAAGCAGTGTGCCAAGGCATATTTCACTGGCAAGGTGAAGAGGTCCTTATATAACAGCCTCAATTCCTCATTTCCACGTTTTTCAGTCACGATATCTCTTGGCTCGGTTGAGAGGTTCCGAACTTGTTGTTCCTCTTGTTTGCCGTGATCTCCGTTGTAGGGTGCAAGCCTGTTGAAATGGACTAATATGGGTTTGCCGTCTGGTTGCCTCTTAATCCGGTAGATGACATCATTTAGACGGGAAATAACTTCATAAGGTCCTTCCCACGAGTTCTGGAGTTTAGGTGAATATCCACGACGCCTTCGGGGATTATGTAGCCACACGAGGTCTCCAGGTGTGAACTCTCCTCTCTCGGCCTTTACGTCATACTTCTCCTTCATCCTGTCACTTGCTCCAGATATGTTGTGACGGACTTTCTCATGTATCTCGTCTATCATCTTCCGGTTCTTAGACAAGGGAGCAACATCCTGCCACGATGGTCTTCCATTATTGTCCATCTTCCATTGCTTAGTGTGTTTTAAGCCTGGGCCCCACTTCTGGTCCTCTGACAGCTTCTTCCTGTCCCCTTCGTCGATAATGGCGGTCACACGACGAACCGATGCAATATGGTCTTCCTTGCGTGCCCAACGATTGCCGCTGCGATGATTTGACTCAAAGTCATACTCCTGCTTCGATTCTGGAGGGATCGAATGAGGTTTACTCCGGGGACGCCCCATCTCTCCGCAGTTCCAACAGCGTGCCTGCCAGTGACGATTTTTGAGTGCCTCCAGAACTCTCTCTACCAGGTCCTCGATGTCCAGAGGAGTTGTAGGTTCTGCGTCAGCCACGCGGACTCGGGCCTGACCTCTCACCGACTGCCGTACAGCCTCAAACTCCAGTGCCTGTGACAGTGTGACATTCAGGGTCTTTGGTCTGGCGAGCTTCACTGCCTGTTGAGTCTCAGGTTCACGTAGACCATCTAGGAATTTATCCACCGCCAAGCTCTCGTAGACATCATCTGTGACTGATGGATATGCGTTTCTCACCAGGCGAGCAATGTCGGCTTCAAACTCCTGAAGTGACTCGATAGGCTTCTGGATCCGGTTCCGCAGCTGTGATCGGTAGAGCTGGTCCATATGTCGATGTCCAAAGCGCATGTCCAATCTTCTTACTAATTCTGCGAAGTTCTTCCGCTCCGCCATTGTCATAGCATGCAGAACAGCTAATGCATAGCCCCGTAGTGCAAGACACAGCGTCGAAGCTTTTGTCTCCTCGGTCCACCCATGGACCATAGCCGCTGTCTCGAAGAGAAGCATGTAGTCCTCCCAGGGAGTCTTGCCATCGAAGTGAGGAACGACGTTCTGAGGGGCAACGGCAGCAATGGTGGGCGCTGGCTTGGAGATCGTTTCAAGGGCGTTACCCTGCTGAAGTTCGCCAGTGCTAGCCGATGACGCAGGTGTGAAGCTCCCCGATGCAGCCATCTCCTGCCGAAGCTTATCAACTAACCTATCTTCTAGATTCTTTTCTATACAGTTAACTTTCTCATCGATTTCATTTATTCTACTTTCTAAACTATCAACTTTGCTAGAATATTCGCCTAATTTGTTCAGCATTTTTGATTCTACATTTGAAATTTTTGTCTCAATGCTAGCTTCTAAGTTTTTAGCGAATTTCCCATATAGGGAATAAGCTATTACCGTAGTACTCATAGTAAGACCTGGACCCGGGACCAATTTTTTTTTCGTTTTGAGGTCCCTAGAGGCCAAAAACACCATCCGTTCAAATTCATATATATATATATATATTTATATATGTGCCCGTTAGCGCGATAACTCGAGCAAAAACGATCCGATTTTGATGAAATTTGGTACAAACGTGTAAACCTACGTTTATTCAAACGAGTTCGTGAACCAGCATGATCGGACCATGGGAACCCCCCGTTTATGGGGGGTTTTATGGGTTAAAAATGGGGTTTTCCCACTTTTGACTAAAAAAACATAAAATTTTGCAATTTCTTTCCAAACTATTTTGTAGAGCTTAAAAAAACAAATAATTTAGTATATTGAAGCGTTATAATGCACCTAATGGTTACGGAGAAAATTTCAAAAAAATGTAAATTTAAAATTCCCATGTTATTCTTATGGAGAATAAGTAAACTGTTGTAGTTTGCTTGTTTATTAACATTTTTTGCCCAAATTTGGTAAATGTTTTTATTTCTTACTAACTATTAACATTTTACATAAAAAACACTTTTACCCTCCCTGTTGCAGCAAACCTAAGTATGTGTTAAACTGATTGTATTTAAATAGGGAATAAATGTGATATTTTTAAGGAGACATTTTAGTGTAAATCCAATCAGGCAAATGGAAATTCGCTTAGTCTGCAGTTTTGCTGCGGCGGGGGTATTGTTATTTTCTGACATTTTTGACTCAATGCTAGCTTCCAGGTTTTTGCTATTTTCTGACATTTTAGACTCGATATTAGCTTCTAGGTTTTCTAACGTTTTACTAGTTTCCGACATTTTTGACTCTAGGTTTTTAAGCATTTTGTTCATATCAGATGTTTCAAATAAAAAGTTATCTGGATCTTCACCTGCATCAGTCAAAGCTTGTTTAAGGCGTGCCTGAAGGGCTGATTTAGTTCCATTGGTATCTAGATCACGTTCTTCTAATTCTCTTCTAAGATCAGCTACTTTTAATTCATCAAGTTTTACACCTTTAAAAGCCATTCTTCTACCAAACAATTACAACTATTTTTACAATAAATTGTTATTTTTCAGATGATACAAGTTCAATAATAGCAATAATAGCAATAATAGCCCGTCGGGGGTCAGAAGAAAATCTTTAATGACAGCCTATGTTGAGTTGTACATCATTTTAAAGGTCTACTTCAACTGAAAACAATGCCGCAAACCGTACTTCAAAAAGTTAATCCTGCGCAAAATGGTAGATGTTCAAAGATTTTAAAAATTAGCCAATTTCTTTAAATTAAAACACTTTTTTAAATCTTTAAACAACTGTCATTTTTTAACGGATGGTCCTTTTGAAGTACAGTTTGCGGCATTCTTCTTTGCTTAAAATTCCCTTTAAAATGATCTCCATAACTTCACATTAAGTGATCCAAATAACTCTTCAGGGCGACGGCCCACAAGGAGTCGGAAGTAAATCTTGAATGGAAGCATAGGTTGATATGCGCATCAAATTAAAGGTATTTATTAGTAGAATACAATGCCGCAAACCGTACTTCAAAAGGACCATCCGTTAAAAAATGACAGTTGTTTAAAGATTTAAAAAAGTGTTTTAATTTAAAGAAATTGGCTAATTTTGAAAATCTTTGAATATCTGCCATTTTGCGCAGGATCAACTTTTTGAAGTGCGGTTTGCGGCATTGTTTTCAGTTGAAGTAGACCTTTAAAATGATGTACAACTCAACATAGGCTGTCATTAAAGATTTTCTTCTGACCCCCGACGGGCCGTCCCCCAAAGGTGATATCCGACCACCATGCACACAGAAAAGTAGCTCCCAATTTCCAGTAACGGTATACCAAATGTGGTTGTGATATCGTTTGTCATTTAAAAGTTATAAAGTCGTCCTAAGACTTAACGGTCACCCTGTATAATTAGGGTCAACTAAACACAGAAAAGATTGTGTTCACAAAAGCAAATAAAATCTCCAGGCTGAAAGGTAGACTATACATTTTATAAAATGACTTTGAAAAGAATATAAAATTACTCATTTTTTTACTCTCTCTTAAACTCATAAGTACCATCCTTAGATAAAAATGCAGAGACGGTGAACTTTTTGTATAGCAATGTTTTGTGTATCGTCTGCAGTTTTGTGTGTCGTGTAAAGTTTTGTGTGATCCTGTGCCAGATTGGACTCATATTCAGGTAAGCCTGCTATCCATACAAAAAAATCCAACAAACGTAGACCCTTGTGCTCTATTCTTATCGTCCTTTTTTTCAGAGAATAGTTTTGTCTCTAAAAAGACTTGCAGGAGTAGGCAGTACCTAGGTTTCCCCAATATGTTACACCTATAACTGTAAATATGAGACTAGTCGCTTAGTCTCATGGTAAGACCTGGACCCGGTACCGATTTACTTTTTCGTTTTGAGGTCCCCAGAGGCCAAAAACACCATCCGTTCAAATCTATAAGTATAAAAGAGGATGTTTGTATATATATTTGGCAGTGATAAACTCAGACACCGCTGAACCGATTGCCACGAAACTTGGTACATACGTGTAGAATTTCATGGAACAGGTTTATACACCATCAATTTCGTGATCCGTCCAATCGGCTCCGCCCCAGTGGCTCTGGAGTTTCCCATGTTAACCTTATGAGAAATGGAATTAATGAATCTTAACAGCTGTTTCAATTAATCAAGTTTGTTCTGTTCTATGATGTTCAATAGCATTAAAGTTACAAGGATTACCAACAGGGTGCAGCACTATTATTTCTTTTACATTTATGACAACAGCTAAGCGAACGAACCTCAAACTGGAGGCGAGTTAGCGTAGCGAACGAGCTCCAACCTAAAGGTGTATGAGCGTAGCAAACGAACTTCAACCAGGACGTGATTGAGCCATGCGAACGAGATCATCTTGAAAATTAAGAAGTTAAACGGGGCAAAGCCCGCGGGTTACAGATAGTTCATATATATTTATATATGTGTCCGTTAGCACTATAACTCAAGCAAAAATGATCCGGTTTTGATGAAATTTGGTATAAACCCACATTTATTCGAACGAGTTTGCAAACCAGCATGATTGGACTATGGGGCAGGGGTTTATGGGGGTTTTATGGGGTAAAAGTGGGGTTTTCTCATTTTTCACCCTGAAAACATAACATTTTGCAATTTCTTATTTATAAACCTTTTTGTAGAGCTTAAAAAAAACAAATAATTTAGTATATTGAAGCATTGTTGCATGCCTAACGCTCATGGAAAAAATCTCGAAAAAGTGAAATTTTAAAATTACCATGTTATTCTTATGGAGAATAAATCAACTATTGTGGCTTGCTTGTCTATGGACATATTTTAATGAAATTTTGTTTACTTCATACTAAGCTACTAATATTTCAATAAAAAAACCTATTTTTTCCAATTAAAATTAATGATTTTAAATAGGAAATAAATCTGACAATTTTAATAATTTAGTGGAATTCCAGCCAGGTAGATGAAAATTCGCTTAGTCTGCAGGTTTGCTGCGGCGGGGGTATTATTTGAGATTTTGTTGTTTAGTTTCTTGTACAATAAAAATAACATAAAAACTGATTTTTTCAAAATCGGCTCAAATGTTTTGATTAAAATTTTGTATAGCATGTTATGGTCCTTTTAACTCTAAACAAAATTGTACAACCCCCCAATCCTGTAAAAACTAGGGTTCCAAAATTACAGTATTGCAACATATGTGATTTTACCAATAAAATACCTTTTTTACCCCCACCGCTTGCACATGATAAAGGATTCTGACAAGCCAATGGTCTAGAAAGTATCTGTCAGTTTGCTGATACAGCTTATTTATTACAATGCCACTCACCAGATGCCATGTATGGTCCAGATGTCCTTCTGCTTGGGCAATGCACAAGTGTGGTTGGTAGGACTGGTCTCTTCCCACTCCATACATACTGTGTTGGGCCATCGCTGAGTGAAGATCAGCAGATCCCATTCATTGCTGTTGTACACATGGTTGATTCTGGAGCCCCTGTAATAGCAATGAAAAATTCTTTCAAATCTACGCATTATGACAGTTTTTTTCTCATAACGTATAAGCTTTCTGTAAAGACTTACACAGTGTGCAGTGTGGTATTTCTCGTTTTTATTCACAATGTAGCAGTGCGTTGATTGAACAGAAGGGCGAGAGAGACCATGGAGTATAGGAAAAGATGTGTTTATTTCATCAAAGTTCAATTGTCATAATGCAGTAAAAACAATGAGGATGGCAAATTTCTTTATGTTTTCTATCTCTCACTTGATAACTCCTGTGTATACCTTAGGCTTCTGGATGGCGAAGAATAATAAACAATTTTATTGCTTTCCCAATAACTGGTCGTATTTCAACAAAGTAGAACTAGGATAGATTTTGAAAAAAAAAATAGAACATGTCAAATTACTTAGATGCAGCATTGACTCATACTCAATCTGCTAAAATTACATAACCCCGTACTAACAATTAATTTCTGGCCCTTGCAGATTTTGTTTGGATGGATATTGTTGTGTAAATAATAATAAATAAAAAGGACAAAATCAAGTTTAATTAAAGTTCAGCCCATTTTGGCATACATACATAAGGACAGACTCATTGCTAGTCATTCCTCTTTTCCTAGTTGGCAATCCTGCCAGTGACGTAGCATTACCTACTCCTTTTTCCTCTTATCTCTTCTTCTTGCCAATGTCAATACACATTCCCGCCCGCTACCGCTTATCACGCACCAGTTTGTGCCTTGAACTTTCTTTATACCGTGATCGGTTTTAAATTCAACAATTATCGTGTCTCGCCTCTGGGATTATCTTTGTGTCCGTGAACGACGTTATCCACTACGGCAGGATGATCTTCGCTGGACCAAGGGGCCCCTGAGAATTCTACACTCCACACTCCAGGCCGCCGACCACGCTTCGTACAGAGAAGAAAGGATCGGTCGTGAGTGATACTTCAATTTTAATATTAGATAAGACTTCATTAATTATTTTCTTTCAAGTTTCAGATGTGTCATTTTACTGCTCAATTTATTCAAACGTCATAATACAATACAGTCCACTAATTAAATTACGCAACTAATTCAATTCTCAAACAATCCATAACATATTTGGCCTTACGAGTCGGATTATAAACTATTTCGCTATGGATATTGTTATTCAATCAAATTCATTTTAACTGAAACTCAGTTTTATTTTAATCATCCAAAAAGTAAAGCTATGAACATTTCAATCTCGAACAGGAATTTTCATTCAAGATAACAAGTTTCGTGAGTTTGCCGGTATTTCCAACAGGGATGCCAATCGCTGGTGCACAAACTATCAATATCCCTACTTTTCCCACATATCCCGTACGTTCTAGAAAAATCCCTGAAAATCCCTAAAAAAAATTCCTAAAATCCCTGAATATCCCTTAAGATCTAAAAATATCCCTGCATCAAAAATTATCCCTATTATCCCGTTTTTACCTTTGTTTACATTTTTAAACAATGAGGTTATATTGACATTTATTAATGAGTGAAATTTATTGAAGTGAATTTTCCTGCCATTTCATTTAACTTGTGTACACTCATGAAGATTGAAATTGAAAATTGACTCTTTAAAAATTACTGAATATAACTTGAATTCTCTGTGAAACTTATATCCTCAAGATACTATTTATATTGAAGATTTTACATTTTATTTTATTTCCTGAAGAAGCATATTCTTATTTATTTTTACAATTCAAGAGGATTTAAGATTGATCTACTGCACACATTATCCTTTGTTAATCAGTGCATAATACATGCAAGTTGATAAGCTCACAGTAGAGATTGAAGATTGTTTCTACAGTATCAATATTGATTAAATATAAATTACTCTGTACAACTGGGAGTAACTATCAATAGATGCATTGAAGAAAAATATTAATTTTACGGTCAATTTATTTACTGCATTGAACATTACCTCAATTCAAGCACTGTCTATCCTACTATTGAATATTATCAAGTCAATATATGAATGAGTCTGATCTCTGTTCATATGATCATTGGATATTAAGCTTAGCCTATTACTCTATATATATTCTGACATTTATATGCATTTTCATGTGTCAGTAATAATTTCTCACTCAATTTCAGTTGAACTAATGTGTTCTGAAAATTTCCTCATTGCTTAAATAGGCTAATTAATTTCTCTGTGGTATTTTTACAATTATTAGTCCTACAATTATTGGAATTTGGAATAGTGAGAACATGGTTTACACAATCTTTTGTTGCCAACCGCTAACTTCAATTTTATGCACCTAGTGTCCATACTATTTGCCTTGTAATATTTATGCAAACAAAATGCCTCCATTGCGCTTTTGTAATTTTACCAAGCAAGCTTCTCTGATAAAACTAAGGTTGAATTCTTTTGAACAACAAGTTACTGCATTCTCAGAGAAGACGGATCCTCTACTAGAAGCAGACTTAGCAAAAATCAAAATTATTGATGAAACTGCTACAAAGAAATGTAATGATTTTGAGTCAATGGTTAGTAAATTATATAGTGCTGATAAACCAGATGAAGATATTAAGGATGCTGATGTTGTTAAACTCCAAGATAAATCTCTGATCTTTATATTAAAATCCACAGCCTCTGTGCGATTCTTGTTCCCAAAGCGGATCCCAGACTGGACCAATCTTATTCCAGTGTCAACAGCGGTACAGTAGAATTTACAGGTGTAAAACTCCCTACTCTTAAGCTAGGTGAATTCTCTGGCCAAGCTGACAAATGGATAGCTTTTTATAGCTTATTTGAAAGCACTGTTCACAAAAACTCTAAACTCTCGGATGTCGAGAAATTTACCTACTTACTGTCTTGTCTACATGGAGAGCCATTAAATTTGATTAAATCATTGCCCATTACTGCTGCCAATTATCATATTGGTTATCAGCAACTGATTAAGCGCTACAACAATTCTAGGCTATTGATAACACTTCACATAAATAATATCATTGATTTGCCTTCTGTACATAATAGCTCTGTGAAACAAATGAGATAATTTGTGTCATCCCTACAGGAAAATATTAGTGCCTTGCGTGCCTTAAACGAGGACCTCAAAGATGAGAGCATATTTATGACTATATATCTCCTCAGGAAATTTGATAATGATTTCAGATCCAAGTTTGAACATGATAGGACTGATTCACAACAGGTACCAACCATCAAGGAACTCATTGATTTTATTGAAACCCAATGCAATCAACTAGAGGCAGCCAATCTCTCACTTGTACCTTCAAGAATCTTAACCAACGCCAGTATGCAAAGGAGTTCTTCGAGTAATCAAGTAGCATTCAAGTCTACTCGTGGATCTTACCAAAACTGCACTGCCCTACTGACTGCGCAAAATAATTGTAACTTCTGCTCTTCGTGTGATCATGTCATATACAAATGCTATAGATTTTCTAATTTAACCCCAGCAGATAGACTAAAGTTTGTACAGAGCAACTTATTGTGTAATAATTGTTTGGGTCAACATAGTCAGAACTTGCAATTCTCTCCGATCTTGTAATATATGTCAACGTCGACATCATACTATGCTTCATTTGAATGCACAAAGCAACCATCAACCCTCTAACCAATGTCTCAACAGTTCTAAACTATATCAATCAAGGAATAATCCTCGTAAACATACCTCTGATGGATCAAAACCTAATTCTGCTGCTAACAATGCCCCTTCTGAACCCACACAGAGCAATACCTCTGCAACTAAGGACTCTACATCAAATGCTACGGTCTTAGTAGGTTTATCTCATTGCAGTAACAATGTAGTTCTACTAGGAACAGCACTAGTAAATGTATGCACTCCCAATGGAAATAATATTGTCGCACGCGCTGTGCTCGATAGCGCTGCTCAACAAAGTTTTCTCAGTGAATCATGTGCACGCAGATTAGGAATTTCTCGAGTAAAATCATCAAGTCACAAAATTCTGGGAATATCATCTGCTACAGTCTCCACTAAAGGACTCTGTTTTTTGAACATTACTTCAATGAGAGGCCACGTAGTTGCGAAAAATCATCCAGTTGTTGTACTCGATAACATAACTACTAACCTACCTGCTTGCCACATATCAAGAGAGGTTAAGGATCGTACATTCAACCTGGTTCTTGCTGATCCTACTTTTGATACGCCCGCTCCTGTCGACTTACTAATTGGCGCTGATCTCTTTGCCAGTACCTTCTGCTTTGTTAGTACCTCTTTGAGTGCTAAAGGGTGATGCAATCCCTCTTGGTGACGATATGCCAACTGCCTTGAACACAGTCTTTGGCTACGTATTAATCAGTAATACACCTGTCGAACCTGAAGAAGGCTTTTCATCAATTAATCTACTGACAATTACAAATACTGATCTTCACCAGTCAATTCAGAAGTTTTGGCTTCAAGAAAATGTGCCTGATGCACCATCACTGTCTCCAGATGAACTGAATTGTGAAACCCAGTTTAGAGAAGGTTATACCAGGTGTAAAGATGGAAAATTTCAAGTACGTCTACCATTCAAGCAATCTCCCTCAGTTATTGGGAATTCTTCTTCTGCACTTTGCATTTTCAAATCATTGGAAAATCGACTAAACCGCAACCCAGAATTAAGGAAGAAATATGTAGATTTTATGAAAGATTATGAAGACTCAGGTCACATGGTACGTTGTTCATCACCTATTGCATTGGAACAACCACATTTCTTTCTCCCTCATCATGAAGTTCTCCGAGGAGAAAAAATTCGTGTAGTTTTTAATGCTTCTGCTGCTACCTCCTCTGGTCTGGCACTAAATCATATTCTTCACTCTGGACCAAAACTACACAACGACATTCCAGCCATCATCATGGGCTTCCGCCAACACCGCATTGTGTTTACATGTGACATTCGTCAAATGTTTAGAAATATTTGGATCCATCCAGAGGATCGTAATTTCCAATTGATTTACTGGCGATATGATGTATCACAGCCTATACAAGTATACAAGCTTACTACTGTCACATATGGCATG